CAGGCCCTCAAGAACAGCATAGGGAGCAAAGTGGGAATACGGTCTTTAGTGGGAAGAGGAACTGGCAGAAATTGCTGCCCCCTTTCCCACAAACAGAAATGTCATTCTGTTGAAGAAAATGCATAGTTAGCAATACGGCCCTGTTTCTGTTGTTTTTTGGAAGGATCAAAGGCTGCTACTGTGCATGTGTAAAGAGCTCCACACCTCCTGCCCCTCTGCCCAAGCTTGCTGGGGCCCACACAAAACAATATGGTTTCTAACAAGTTGGTTTTGGGTTCCATGCAGTATCCATGCATGTGCAGCTCCAAAACGGGGCAAGCAACTCCTCCCCCAGGCAATTTTGGCTCGGAAAAACAGTGCAGGGGGAAGACAGGAGCCCTGCAGCCCTGAGCTGAATTGCTGTTCCCCCACACACAGCTGCAAACTTCCACCATTCCCCACAGATGCTATGTGACTGTGGGGAAAGCAAGTCAGGTCTGCCATTGTTAAAAATCACATCGTGTAGTTTGTCCCTGAGAGGAGCATCAAGACAGTGGAGGTCACTTAGGGGTTGAAGAGATTCCTTTTAGGAGCAGGTTCAGAGCTTGTGGCTTCTCCTCCTCCTGTCACATAGCCAATGATATCATGTGCTTGCACTTTGGCACTATGATTTCTTCTGGGGTTTACAGATGAATTCCAGGTCTCGAAACATTGGTGGCCACTGCTTTAAGGTAATGAAGGCCAGAGAAGGGCAGACTCTACAAAACAGTAGGTTAGTGCCTCATCGGCTCCAAACAGGACTGCCAAATCTGGGTTGTGAAATTCCTGGAGATTTAGGTGGTGGTGAGGGTAGAATTTATTTATTTGGGGGGGGGGAGCTCAGTAGTGATGCAATGCCATAGACTGTGCCTTTGGATGGATCTATTTCCTCCTGGGGAACTGATATCTGTAGTCTGGAGATCAAAAGTAATTTTGAGAAAAGTCCAGGTCCCACCTGGAATGTTGGTAACCCCAGGCCTCCAAACTAGTGTACTTGGGGAGACTCACAGGGCCCCTGCTGCCATTCAGTGACATATTAATTCTCTGCCTCCCAGTTAGCCAAAGTTGATTTAAAAATGGCATTAGTCGGCAACTGCCCAGAGTTCCTTTGGCCATCCATCTCAAACTTGGGAGAGTTTCAGATGGTAGGTAACTGAATAGTTATTATCTTTCCATGTAGCCATATAAACAATATTCCTGCTGTTGCTAAAGCCAATAGTAAAGTTACTGCTAGAGAGTGCCCCTTAAATGACACACAGGGTTGCCAACTGTGAATTGGGAAATTCCTGGAGATTTTGATGGTGGATCCCAGGTTTGGTGGGGGGAGGGATCTCAGTGTGGTACAATGCTGTAGAATCCATCCAATAGCCATTTTCTCCAGAGGAACTGATTTCTGTAATCTGGAGATCAATTGTAATTCCAGAATTCCAGGCCCCACCTGGAGGTTGGCAGCATGACTTCTACGTGATTTTTTCTCTGACAGGTACAGCCCTCGCACAGTTAACGTTTATATAGGAAGAAGGTCCCCAATGTGGAAGCATTCAGTGATATCTTCATAGCATTTTTATGCACAAGATCAATCTCCTTTGGATCCCTCCTCTTGAACAATGTATGATAACATGTATTTATTTATTTATTCTATTTCTATCCTGCCCTCTCCACAAGCAGGGTTCCCAACCTCCAGGCGGGCCATGAAGATCTGGAATTTAAACCGATATCCAGACTACAGAGATCTGTTCCCTTGAAGAAAATGGCTGTCTTGGATGGTAGACTCTACAGCACATTATTAGACCGCACTGAGGTCCCTCCCCTCCTCCAATCCCCACCATCCCCAGGCTCCATCCCTAGATAGCCAGAAATTTCCTAAACTAGAGCTTGCAACCCTATAAAACACCAAAGTCAATGACGCCATATGCAGCATAACCACACTGGGTTACCAAAATAGATGTTCCAGGTAGCTGCACTGCTGTAGTGTATACCACTGCTTATTGTATGCATTTCTTGTACTCTACCTTTCGTAATCCAGTTTTTGCATTGATGTCAAGTCTTATACTGTTTTAATTTGAATTGTTTTCTAATTTTGTATTGTATGCATTTCTTGTACTCTACCTTTCGTGATCCAGTTTTTGCATTTATGTCATGTCATATTCTGTTTTAATTTGCATTGTTTTCTAATTTTGTATTCCAGCCTTATTACAGTGTTGATTATATGTTTATACTGTTCCTGTTGCACTGATGAATTTTATAATCCACCCTGAGTCTCATCAAAAAAGGCAGATTAAAAAGAGATTAAAATTGCAAGTAGCCATTAGGACCAAACCAAATTATACAAGTAGCGAGTTCTCCAGAGCTCTCCACCAGGCAGGATGGACGCGGGGCATGGTTAACCGGGGGTGGGGGTGGGGGAATCATGCCTACATAAATATACATCCAATAAATAAAATATAGAGAAGAGGGGGCTCCCTTTTGATACCTAAGGCATAAAACGTATTTATTACCTATGAAGCTCCTGTCCCGGGCCGCAAATGACATTAGATATGATATGATGCTTGCATATAACGTTTGTCCTTTTCCACCTCTCTGATTGGTTCGTAAAAGAGTGAGCGAGGGGACACACACAGCGAGACAAGCCTGTACTTCCTAGGGCTGAAGGGCCTTTTCTAGGCGGTTTGGAGCTTTGTGCTCTATGATGACAGGGGCACGCAGGCGCGGGGGGCAGGCCGGCCAGTTGCACCTGAGAGATGCCGAAGTTAATCGGAGGTCCGAGCGACGCGACCGGTCAGGTGAGAAAGTTGCGGGAGGCCGGGGGGAGGCCGAGCGGGCGAGATGGCCGCGTATGAGAAGGGGCGGGTTAGAAGGGAGTGTGGTAATGGAAGCGGGTCTGTTGAATTTAGCAGCGAGGATCATCAACTTAGTAGCGAGGATGCAGTGAGACGAGGGCGAAGTGGGCATCAGGAGGATGCTCCGTGTGGGGTGGGGGGATTTGTTTCTAATCTTGCATCGTGGCTGTTTTCGTAAGCAAGAGCATGCCAGGCGGGTATGTAAGAAAGAAACCTTTCCCCATCACTAAGCCTGTTGAATTTCTGAATGCTTTTCAAACTACACTTGTTCCGGCCCGTAGCCTGCGTGGGGCCCTGGGGGCATGCCCCTCCATGGGTTTTGCGGGCCCCTCCCCATCACGTGTCACGTGACCCGACGGCTCCTGTGCAGCCTGTCCCAGTCTGGGGAGGGAAGGAGTGAAGGACGGGTGGGTGGGCAGAGCGAGCGGCGAGAGGAGCTGCGGCGACGCTTGGAGCTGCTCCCGCCAAGGTCCCCAAAGGCACCGGGGAAGTTTTGGTACATCCTGCCGAGTGCGCGCGCGTGCGTGGCTCCCCTCGCCGAGAGGGCTCCCTCCTCCTGTCAGGTGAGGGGGAGGGGGGTGGAATGCAACATTTCGCTGGCTGCCTGCTGAATTGTTCATGACAGAAGACATCTATCTTCCCTCCCTCCCTCCCTCCTACCCTTCCCCGGAGTAAGCCAGTCTTCCCATTCCCCTGCTAGGACACTCTTTTCTCTCCCCTTGCCATTCTTCGTCTTCTTACTACGGTGAAGGAACTTTGCAGTATTCCTCTCGGTCATTTCAGTCTCTCCCACCAGACTTCTTCTCCGTCTGAAGGTGCCCACCCCCGCTAGTCTCTTTCAACTCGGCTGAGGTGTGGCTAGTTCAAAGGGCCCGTTGTCCACCACCCGCCCCACCACCCCATGAGGGACTGTGCACGGGGGCTCCCCACTGATTCAAAAGTTTATATCCCTCCCCCACACATGCGTGGATTCTCTCCTCTGCATTGTGCTGACTTGCATCTCCGCTTGAGAGCCACCCCAGTTTTCATTCCCTCTCTGCACTACTTTCTATCAAGGGGCATGGGACTGATGTCCCCTCTCGCAGATGGAAACGCTGGCGGGGATTCTAGGGGCTTGTACTGCAGAGAACCGAAGCTGGTGAAGCACCGCGGGGGCAGTGGGCGGGGCCCTGTGCCTCGCGGGATTCTTTCTGTGGGGGCGGAGTCGCGGCTCTGGTTTTGGGGAGGGTGCCACACCACCGCCCCCCAAAAGCAGCACCCCGGTGTTCCACCCCGGGCCCCCTGAGAAAAACACGAGCCCCCTGAGAAAAAAGTTGTTAGCTACTGGCCTGTCAGCTTCTTCTAGCTGAGAGAAGTCAAGATGTGGGTGTCTGCTTCCAGAAGGTTTTATGCCAAACTTAGCAAAGTAATGAAAGCAAAGAGACAGAGCCTTCCTTTTGGCAGGGCAGCTGCTAAATCAGACAAGGATTCTGGATTCTCAGGTTTGGGATTAGGTTTCCTTCTTGGTTGTTCTGTTTGATCTTCTGATCAAGAAGCCTTCCATTGACTTTAAGTATTGCATATTTGGAGGAACTGAACACATCTGCAGAATAAGCCCTCCAAATTTATTAATTCATTTACTACTTCATTTCTATAGATTCAGGTGGGTACCCTGATGAAGTGTGCATGCACATGAAAGCTTATCCTCACTGGACTCAAACTTTGTTCTGTTACTTCATTTTTAGTAAGCCTTCATTCTCATGAAGACTC